TATAGGCTGCAAAGGGAGATAGTCTTATTCCAACCTTGTCCGCTCCTACTTCATTGACAACAGCTTCAACTATTTCCAAGGCAAATCTGCAGCGGTTCTCAAGAGATCCACCGTATTGGTCTGTTCTATCATTCACTTGATCTTTCAAAAACTGGTCAATTAAGTAGCCATGAGCTCCATGAATCTCAACTCCGTCAAAACCTACAATAATGACAGAGAAAATTAAATACATGCTTTATGTTTCAAAGAGATGAAAATGGGGATGGTTGGGGAAGGAAGCCAGGAACTTACCAGCTTCAATGGCATTCCTAGCAGCAAGTCTAAAATCATTGATAATTTTAGGAATTTCATCAGTCCTTAAAGGCCGTGGAGGTGAGAAATCTTGAATAACTTCACCATTAGCTTCAACCCAAGGTTTTAATGGCTTATCTGTAGAAGAGATTGGAGCTTGCCCATTGGGTTGAAAGCCTGTTTATGCTCATAAATTGAATTTGACAAGAAATTATAAAAGGGCCTTGTCAGTTGGAAAGAGAAATAATACAGAGCACAAGATAAACATGAATTCAAAAAATGCAGATCTCACCACCATTAACTAATTCCAATTGTATATGTAAAATCTTAACATAAGCAGTACTCATCACTACCAGTCATTCAAGCTAGTTTTAGATACAAATGAATGGATAGTGTCTGGGAAATGCACTCACTTGTATTTGAGGCCCTCCCCACATGCCCAATCTGACAGAAGAAGATCCCACCTTTGGCATGAACAGCATCAACAATAGGTTTCCAACCCTCAACCTGCTCTTTTGTCCATATACCAGGTGTTTCTGGATACCTTTACACATGGAAAGAAACCAATTAATGTTTTTGTCAAAATACTTTTGTATTGTCCTTGTAAAGTTATATAAGTTAGCCATACCCTTGAGCAGTGTCAGAAACTCCAGTGGCTTCAGCTATAAGAAGGCTGCCCTTGGAGCTTCTCTGGGAATGGTATAAGATAGCATGTGGCTGAGGAACATTACCGTAAGATCTATGTCTGGTCAACGGTGCAAGCACAATTCTGAAACCAAAAAAACAAAAAGACAAAAAAAAGGAAAGTTAGTTACAAACAAGCACCAAAATTTTGCTTTTTGCATAAGAAAAAACGGAAATGGATTTAGAGAGTAGAAACCGTAGTTATCATTGAAAGAAAAGGAATTTAATAACAAGGTAATGTAGCGTACCTATGAGAAAGACTGAAGTTACCCATTTTGTAGGGAGTAAGAAGAGGAATGGTGGAAACTCCATTGGTGCCAGTATTTTCGTCTTGTGCAACTCTGCTTTCCATTTTGATTCGGGGCGAAGGAGCCTTTGGATTGGTTAAACGAAATGGGAGTGAGAGATGGGGGGATATATAGAGAAGAGAAGCGGAGGACGCAAAGCTCCTGCCGCCGAACAATATTGGATCGGATGACGATTGCTCTTACGTTTTTCATAATTCCCATAACATGCAAAGTCAATTGTTGAATTGTGTTTGATTATTGTCCCAGAGGCTCACTATTTTTGAATTGTATTCAAAAAAGGGGCAGAATTCAAGCAAAAGTTCCAATTGCTGGCGATAGGAGATACAGTTAATGAAAATAGTTTTTTCCTTCTTCCCTTTCGCTGACGGCATGGCTGATGGTATACCTATTAATTTGGAAATCGAGCTGTAGGTAGACCTATTAATTTAATACCAAATTGTGTGGACCTAACCTCAGGATTTGAATCTACTGTTAAATAAATGTTTTACTGCAAGTGGATTTAGAGTTTAAGTCTTAGGACTCACAGTTAAGAAAATTAATTTTTTGAAGGCATCATACTAATAATGCACCATACTAATACAAAAGATGCCAGCTTTAAATCACCCAAAAAGAGATAAGTTTCAATCTATATGAAAGCTAGTTTAAGAACACTCTTAACTATAACTTAAAAAAAAAATTGTGTTCAACAAAGTAAAGTCAATATAACTGATTTGGCATGGTAGATGAAAGCTAATACGGTTTGGCTTTTGTATTAATTGTATCCACTTATGCTATAGAATTATTGCCTTAGAATATGCAATTCTCTTTTCTTTTTGAGTTCCCAAAAAGCATATATACTGTTAGCAACATAATGGACTAAAGAGTCGAGCAAAAGTCAATCAGGACATTATCAAAGTATTTTATTTATAGAATAACATGTGTTAAGACCAAAAATAGAGATCTGGAGACAACAGAATGTCATACTGTTCTATGGTCATAATGCAAGTTCGTATGAACCAAACAGCATTTTACATATGGCTGCATATAGAATGGAAATAATTAATCTCATTTTCATGAAACTCAAACAATGGACAATGCGCTAAAATTACTAACAAGTGTACTAATAGTTCAAGTAATAAAGTGATGAATAGAGGATCGTTCTTACAAGAAATTATGTTCAACTAAGTATCAAAAATAACTAATTCTATAATTATTTGAATAATTAAAAAGAAATAATTTCTAACTAAAACTAATTAAAAAAATAACAATTTAAAATAAAATCACCAAGATATAAGGTACTAAGGAATCCAATTTCACCACCAATTATCAATATGGATTTTAGATTATTATGCTTTAAAGATGTAAATTACTTATATAACAGTGGGACTTCCTATTTTATTGGATATATTTTCTCGAGTTATATAAAATATATAATTTTTTTGGGTATTAACCTCTTCGTATTCAGTAATTTTATTGGTCCTGATTAATTTTGAATCGAGTCGGTCGAACCCTATTTGAGAGAAACTCTCCCAATGCTTATTTCTCTATTAATAAAACTCACACTTGAGATTTTACTTAAAGAAAATGAGTTTTTTCAATTCAGACTAACAGCTGATTGGTATATAAAATATATAATACATATCAAGAAACCAAACAAAAATTTGAGAACGGCTAGCTGCATCTAGAAAACTCAAGCAATGGATTCCAAAAATGGGTAATCGGTGTAACCAACAACAGCATTCTGTGTGTAGAAAGTCTCTCTGATATACTTATTGAGAGGAGCATTGAGTTCAAATCTCCTAGGCAAATCCGGATTGGCCAAGAATAAACGACCATAAGCCACAAGATCTGCACGATTTTCAGCCACTGCTTTGTTTCCATCTTCCTTGTCATAACCCCCTGCAGCAATGAAAGTTCCTTTAAAAGCCTTTCTCATGGGCAATAGACTGTCAGCAGATTCAACCTTTTCTCCAACTGTTTTCATTCTTGGTTCAACCATGTGGCAGTAGACAATTCCATATTTATTCAATGCCTCAGCCATGTACAGGCCTAATGCTTTTGGATTGGAGTCTCCTGCTTCATTATAGGCTGCAAAGGGAGATAGTCTTATTCCAACCTTGTCCGCTCCTATTTCATTGGCAACAGCTTCAACTATTTCCAAAGCAAATCTGCAGCGGTTCTCCAGAGATCCACCATATTGGTCTGTTCTATCATTCACTTGATCTTTCAAAAACTGGTCAATTAAGAAGCCATGAGCTCCATGAATCTCAACTCCATCAAAACCTACAATGACAGAGAAAAGTAAATACATACATATGTTCCAAAGAGATGAAAATGGGAAAGGTTAGGGAAGGAAGCCAGGGACTGACCAGCTTCAATGGCATTCCTAGCTGCAAGTCTAAAATCATTGATAATTTTAGGAATTTCATCAGTCCTTAAACGCCGTGGAGATGAGAATTCTTGAATAACTTCACCATTGGCTTCAACCAATGGTTTTATTGGCTTGTCTGTAGAAGAGATCGGAGCTTGACCATTGGGTTGAAAACCTGTATATAGTAGCAAGGCTGAACTAACTGATCATGAAAGATTGAATTAAGGACAATCCTTGTTTCTTCCAATGAAACTGTATATGCTCATAAATTGAATTTCACAAGAAATTATAAAAGGGCATTGTCAGTTGGAAAGAGAAACAATACAGAACACAAGATAAACCATTACATTTCTTAGTATTCAAATTCTTTGATCACGTTGGGATCAACATTAATTCATAAAATGTAGATCCCACTGTCGTTGGCTAATTCCAATTATATATGGACAATGTCAACATAAGCATTACTCACTACTACCAGTCATTCAAGCTAGTTCTAGCTAGGTACAAAAGCACTCACTTGTATTTGAGGCTCTCCCCACATGCCAAATCTGACAGAAGAAGATCCCACCTTTGGCATGAACAGCATCAACAATAGGTTTCCAAGCCTTAACCTGCTCTTTTGTCCATATACCAGGTGTTTCTAGACACCTTCACACATGTAAAGAAACCAATTAATGTTTTTGTCAAATTAATATTTATGTATTGTCCTTGTAAAGTTAAGTTAGCCATACCCTTGAGCAGTGTCAGAAACTCCAGTGGATTCAGCTATAAGAAGGCCGCCCTTGGAGCTTCTCTGGCAATAGTATAAGATAGCATGTGGCTGAGGAACATTACCGTAAGATCTATTTCTGGCCATTGGCGCAAGCACAATTCTGAAACCCAATAATGTAAAGTTGGTTACAAACAAGCACCAAAATTTTGCTTTTTGCATAAGAAAACGGAAGTGGCTTTAGAGATTAGTAGAAACCGCAATTATTATTGGGAGAAAAGAAATTTAACAAGGTTGTGTAGCGTACCTATGAGAAAGATTGAAGTTGGCCATCTTGCAGGGAGTAAGAAGAGGAATGGTGGAAACTCCATTGGTGCCAGTATTTTCGTCTTGTGCAACTCTGCCTTCCATTTTGATTCTGTGCGAAGTGGGTGTGAGAGATGGGGGACATATAGAGAAGAGAAGCGAAGGATGCAAAGTTCCTTCCCGCAAACAAAATCGATGACGATTGCTCTTACGTTTTTCATAATTCCCATAACATGCAAGTCAATTGTTGAATAATTTTTGACTATTTTCCCAGAGGCTTACTGTTCTGAATTGTACCCAAAAAGAGGGCAGAATTAGAGCAAAAGTTCCAATTGCTGGCAATAGGAGATACAGTTAGTCAAAGTAGCATTTTTCCTTCTTTCCTTTAGCTGAAGGCATGGCTGATGGTATGGTTGGTTTTGGTCGTGGCAGCAATTTGGAAATCTCTGGCTGTAGGTAAACCCATTAACTTTAATTAGATCAAATTGTGTGAGCCAACCACAAGAGTTCAATCTACTGTGTCAAGTAAGCTTGTTAAAATCGAGAGTTTAGATAAAATCGTTTTGATGAGATATTAATTAAAATCATAAAATC